TTCGTATCAATTTCGCCAGGGCGGACGAACGTGCGAACCGATCATTCCGTTCGGCGAATGTCCTCGAGGCGAAATCCGAGCGAACATCGAAATAGCGTCTTCGTATACGTTTCCGCAAATCTTGCTTTCATTGGTGGTTACATTGCTGGCAGGTATTGTAGACGTTAACATTTAAACTCGTAAATTGTGCGTAACAGGTATTATGTTTGTTCGGGTATGTTTTGTATGATAATGCGAGGACGATGTGGGGGTGGGGTGGTGGGTGATCGGATCACGTGGAAGTTCAGTACGTGGGTGGCCGAGCCCAAGTAGTCGTGACGATGATGACGAAGTAGAAGAAAACCGTTTAACATGTTCCGGGTAGCGCTTTTAGAGATTTTACGTTGTTTGTATAAAACAATGAATGTTTACAATCTGTAGCATTTGTACAACGAGCAAATTAGATAATCGCAGAATATTTACACGGCACGGATAATTTCGAGGGCGGAGGCTGCCCTGTGACGGAACCCCCCGGGAGTTTAATGTTCAATATTTAAATGGTTGAGTGACGGGATTCAATCGATCGAATGCACTAGCGAGTGTTTAGCGACCGCGTCGGTGTTTTCAGTGTCGACGGCTTTGTGAACCGAATTATTAGAAACGTACGTCGGGACAGAGGTTAATGGACGGGGAGAGTTACGGATTGGAATGCCTGAACCGGACGGGTTCGAGATGGTTAGGTTAGGAGCTCAATTTTCGTTTACCACACGAAATCCGCATTAACCGCAATAAAACCACTTGACGATTTATGAAACTTTCAAGTCCGCTGCTGTCGGTGTCTGGTACGGCTAGCGCTCAAGTGTGTGGTTCGTCCGTCTATCGGCGGGTCCGCCGCTCCCACTCACGTCCCGTCGGGCATGTACGTTTATTAGTTGCTCTACGGTTTCAGTTTATTTTTGGACACCGAGTTCTCGGTACACAATGTTCGGATAATATATTCTTGAAACCTAATGGAATTTATTATAGACCACTCTTTCCGTTCGTCGAAAACCGTCGACGGTGTTTACTACTTGTCGTTTAGGTGTTTATCGGTTTTTAAAATATGCGAACGTACGCTACGATAGATTCCCGTTTCTGTGTATAGTAATTCGCCGAGTCGTAAACAAACATAGACAAAAAAAAAAAAAACAACCAAAAGCCGTGACTGGGGATGGGAGTGGTCACTGTTACAGGTGAGAAGTTGGGAAGGTAGGATACGTAAGGTCATTTCATTTACATCTGTAAGCAACGACAAACCATTGCTTGACGAAAGACGATTCCGAGCGCGGTTCGGCGATTCATACCATGTCCAGATAAGTCCAATATAAGTATTATTACCAAGTTTCAAGACTCTACGTGTATTTATAACCGAATTACAGCAAAAAAACTCACAACAATTTGAATTCCTTAAAAGCTCCAAAGTGACTCAAAAGTTTTGGTAATGATGCCGTAAGAAAGTAAATCAAAAATGCAACAGAAAAGGTATCTTGTGATTTTTCGATTACATCATTTTTCTGGTAGAAAATGTCATCCGTGTTATCAAATAATGAAATTGTGAAATTGTACGTTTTCCTACGTTTTTTTTCCCCATTTAAGTGCTTTCATTAAAAAATGGCGTCGAAAATCAAAAGAATGACTTCCGTAAAGTGCCATCTAGACAACTTGAGCTTTCAGAAAAGTTGCTACACGTAAAAATCGGAGCAAATTTACTGGGGAAAAACGTGTCCATAGACTAGGGAAAAAAAAATAAAAAACAAAAATATAAACATTTTAGTAAAACCAATAGCTCCCCCCCTCGCCACGCTCGGAATCTAAAATCCGTAACATAAGTTACGTAAGTTACCTAAGTTACATAAGTAATGTAAATCGATTGTATTATCTGAACAAAATTTTTGCGAAATTAATTTCCGCGGTTAATAATATTGTTCTATCAATTTGTTGACTTTGCACAAAATTCGTCCGCCGTTTCCGTACCGACCGATTTAGTTTCCCAGCAAATGGCTTTGGACGAAATATTGTAGCGAGGTTTAAATTTATCGAGCAGATTATATTGGTTTGATTGAAATATCTACTTATGTTAAACACGGGCTACTCAAATCCGGTTGATCATGGCCGTGGGAATTCCATAATTTAAAAACGGAATTTTTTTTATCAAATCGGCGACACGAATTCTCCCTATTCCAAACGTTCGCGAGCATCTCGTTTTTTTTTTTGCTCGGATTATTTTATTTTAGAAAGTTTATAAAATTAAAAATGTGTTACAATTAAAAAAAACAGTATCGTACGTCAAAAATAAATAGAAAAGGACAAATTTTGAAATTTGGAATCCTTTAGTCACATCACCGGGTTGTGAGAGCATTTTGGATCTAGCCAATGGGACGTTTTTTTTAAAAATATTTTTATTACTTTTGTTTTAATGGGGGGGGGGAAATGTCCACGTTTAAAAAGGATGGGGGCAGCCATTGTTATAAGTGGGAAATTGGGAAGGCAGAGGAAAAATTTAATATATATCTCAATATCGGTACACAACGATTAACCATTGTTAACGAAAGATTTAATCCTGAATCTACTACATTAATGTAAAACCATGGCTGCACTCAGAATTTAAAATAAGTGTAGTGAGGTGATGAGTTTCTTATTTGAAAGATTGAAGGTTTTTGCAAGGGTAGATGGAGTATCTATAACACTGGAGTAATCTGTGTTTTCGATGTCCAAAATAAATAATGTTTGTTTCAGGTACATGGAGTGACAGTCATGGCAGGCGACGTAAACCATTGATTCTCATACCGATTTTTGGACAAATTTTATCAAATAGTTTATACTTTGTGAATAACTATTGGAATTGGCCAAGAATATTCGATGGCATATTTACTTCATATCTCTCCGGAGTGTACGTCGGTCGAAATCTGTTCTGGATCGGTGCGATGGCATATGTATCAGAGAACTCGACAGTTGAATCGAGAACTTTGAAGATCGCAAAACTAATCGGGACGTATACCATTAGTCACTTGATTGGATTGTGTTTATTTCAACTTTTAGACAACTGTTGGATAATAATTAAAAACCACATTGAACATGTATATAGATATTATCATGTATTGTTTTTAGTGCCAATATTCTTAAATATAATTGCCGCTTTAGTTGTCATATTTTTTATGAAAGACACTTCTGATTCATATGATAGAAATATGTTATGGATGAAACCAACAAATGTCTTTAACAGTTTTATCAGCTTGTTTAAAAACAAATCCAGAAATCGTGCTGTTTTTGGCATGTTGTTTACATGTCAATTAGCAGTAGTTGTCAGAGTAGGAGGTAAATTACATTATATTAAGTATACAATAATATAAATTAATATAAATTGTTTTCTATATGTTATTGAAAATCAATGTTTCAGTGGAATATTTTTCAATAATGAATTTATTGGCATATGCATACATGGGTGATATAACATATGTTTATTTTAATATTTCCAAAATGGTGGCTGTGGTTTTTGGTAACTATTATTATTTTACATTGTTATTACTGTGTACAATATAAACTACACTCCTGTCGGGNTATACAATGAGTATTCCTAATTACTTAAAAAAATTCTGTGCGCTAGAGAATGTATAATTCATTTCTATTATTAATTGAGCTTATTTTATTTCAGGTGCTTTGTTTTCCGGTGTTGTATTGAGTAAATGTATGAAAGTAAATGATATAGTCATTGGCCTCTTAACATGTAGTGTTTACATTGTTGTAGCCACATGCTATATCTTTGTAAACCGGCTCTATCAACATTGTATAAGTGAATATTAAATATATTTTATTGTTATTGTCATTATGATTATGTATAATTTGTATAATCAATATTTTTCTTATAGTTGTAATAATATATTTATGCCATGGATCCATTATTGTTATCATGACATCGTTAACATCTAAAATGGTAGAAACTGAAGAACTTGGTAGGTATTTTTGTCATATTTTTTTATTTATTTCGTATAATTATATTTTTTTAATAATATTATTTTAGGTCGGTTTAATTCTATCCAATCTACTATTGGTTCTGTTTTAATATTTTCTATTGCCGAAATATGTAGATTCAACAATCACAATAAAATGGTTCATTTATTTATGGTATTTTTTTTGTATGCGATTTTGACCTTACCCATTGTTTTAGTGTTAATGTAAGTAACGCTTTTTATCTGAATATTTAAATGCGGTTATTATTATTAATTCTATATTTAATTTTAATGTTTTTAGGTTTCTTTATTTCAAATGCAAAGATTGGTTGAAAACAGAAAACGTTACACTACAAAAAAATTCTTTTTATACTATATTATCTAGTCATTAAATATTGTTAATTATACATTTTTTTTTGAATTTTTTTTAACTAACCTAATCTACCAAATTTTAAATTATAAAATCATAATCTGAATCAAAAATGATATACACTATTAAAAACAAAAATATAAACAAACATTTTTTTTTTGGTGCGGGCCCCTAGGCAGCAGCCTATGAAGCTTGCGCTTAAATACGGCAACTGCGTGTCACTGTGAGTGAGTATGTTAACAAACTGATGACGTGATCACGGCGCGTGCTGGTTAACCCGCTGGGCACGCCTCTGTGAATAGCACAACGTCAGATAGTATAAAAATCTCTTTGAGCCGTGTCATTTTTACCGACAATCCGCGGGAAGGTGGCGAGTGACGATTAACGAATGTACAAGTGAACAATATCAACAATATAATACAAGTATTCCGTTCCCACCACTCGGCGAATATCCACGAATAGCGAATAATCGGCAAATACACGAGTCGTGGGAACCCGGCTTTATGCATATTATAGGCATTAGATAAAACCAATAATAGTTTTAAGTTTTCAATTTATGTAAATAACTATAATTCACGGTGTGTCACATCCTACGGTAGATACAGTTTCAGTATAGTCAAATATGGCAAAAATCGCCGCGAAATTATTGAACGAATTCGTCGCACGAAATTCGCCGTGTATGGCCCCAGCTTTAGGTTCTACAATAGTTAATGTTTATTGTTCGGCCTGTAGGCGTGTATTGTGTGCAACCATTTACTGTATATTAAGATATGCATACCTTAAATCTTAATTCGTGGTGCGTACCGGTGTATTGCGGTGGGAGTAGGTACGCAATGAAGTATACTCATCGTACACCGTCGGAAGGTGGCTGCCCGCTATCATTTTAGTCTTCCACTTATCGCGGTGAATTATAGGAGTTGTTGTCATTTTTTCCAATAAAAAATGTTTATGTCCGCCAAAAAAAATACAACGTGATCCCGATGATATCGTAAAACTAATCGCGGTTGTGTTCGGCTACTTGAATCAGTATCTTAATTAGGTACTTTAGTTTATTTTCGCGTGCTTTGCGTATTCCGTGTACAGATTAAATTGCCGCCAAGAAGACTGTACAGGAAATATCGTTTTGACGTATGTTGAAAGTCCTAACATTTAATAGCGTTTCGCCTGCGTGCCCGTTTTATAATAACGTATGCCAAATAGCGTTCGTGTTCTGCACGTTACCGGATTCGTATTTGTACCTATTGCGGTTGTGGTTAGACGTACACGATGAATACCCGCGTAGTGTATTGTCGAGTGTGGAGCGTTTGTTAATTGCGATTCCGTTCTTTTTTTTTTTCGTTTTTCAGGATACGCGTTTTTAAAATGTTCGACCGTAAATCGATAATGGATTTGAAACCGCAAAAAGTCGGTTCGGAAAATACTTTGATATTGGTGACGCTACTCTACACGGTGTCGTCGACGTTGTCTTCTTCGTATCAATTTCGCCAGGGCGGACGAACGTGCGAACCGATCATTCCGTTCGGCGAATGTCCTCGAGGCGAAATCCGAGCGAACATCGAAATAGCGTCTTCGTATACGTTTCCGCAAATCTTGCTTTCATTGGTGGTTACATTGCTGGCAGGTATTGTAGACGTTAACATTTAAACTCGTAAATTGTGCGTAACAGGTATTATGTTTGTTCGGGTATGTTTTGTATGATAATGCGAGGACGATGTGGGGGTGGGGTGGTGGGTGNACAATGAATGTTTACAATCTGTAGCATTTGTACAACGAGCAAATTAGATAATCGCAGAATATTTACACGGCACGGATAATTTCGAGGGCGGAGGCTGCCCAGTGACGGAACCCCCCGGGAGTTTAATGTTCAATATTTAAATGGTTGAGTGACGGGATTCAATCGATCGAATGCTCTAGCGAGTGTTTAGCGACCGCGTCGGTGGTTTCAGTGTCGACGGCTTTGTGAACCGAATTATTAGAAACGTACGTCGGGACAGAGGAAAAAATTCATGATTAAAGAAAAACAGATGTCCAAACTAAAATTGTCCATACGACTTTTCGTTAGCGAGTTATAGTGATTTAAAATTAGCGCGTGACGTCATAGAATCCAATCTCGCGGTGGTTCCAGTTATTATTGGACGTACGTCGTACATATTATTACATATTATTTCGGATTAAATATTTTTGCGCTCATAATAATGGGTAAATAAAGTTGAAGACGCAATATTTACATGTATTAACGCCACGAAAATAGATTCTATGACGTAACACGTCAACTTCAAAAGCCTGTATATCACCAACGAAACGTTTGGACCATTATTTTTTTTTTTTTAACACAGAGTATTATTTTGATTAAATTAAAAAAAAAAAAATATTTTAATTGTTTTCCTGATTTCGGTATCTGGTACAACCGTTGGTTAATTTGACTATTCGGTTGGTCCACGAATTCTGCCCCCCCTTACCCATCACGTGCTGTCAGCAGGTAACTATTTTATGTTTGGATAGAAATTTCTGGGTAATACGTACGCAATACTCGAATAATATATAATAGAAGACTAATGGAATTTATTTTAAGTGCACTGTGCGCAATGATATCGTGTTTATACTATTCCCAACCTAACCTAACAGGCGGTGCTTATTACCTATTAATATACACACACTTCAACGCTTGTCATTTAGGTGTTAATAGATTTGTATACTATACGAACGTACATTGCGATCGGTTCGTGTTTGGTGGTTCGCTATGAGTAATATTCACCGAGTCCGTAGGTAAACAAACAAACAAAGAAAAAACTTTAAAAACACCGTTCGATTTAAAAATAACCCATTGACCTATCTACCATCCATTTGTATACTCGTATGCGTTTTGCGTGTATTGTGTTCGAATACTATTGAAGTAAATAATATTATGCTGTTGCATATAAAAATTTAAAAACGAAAATCCGGTAATATTAGTTTGTTTTAAATCGATTGTGTTATTTGAACAGAGTTTTTCGAAAATGATTTCTCCGGTTAATAATTTTTCAATTAATTTGTTGACTCGACACGCAATTCGTCCACCGTTTTCGTACCGAACGATTTAGATTTTTTTCCGCAAACGGCTTAAAACAAAATATTGTAGCGCGATTTGAATTGATCGAGCCGACCACTTGACGTTTTACAATTTTCAACTTTGAGTTCTTTACTTATTTGTCAAGCCTTTCCTTCGAGTATTGGTCCACTAAAATATGTCTAACACGAGCTGCGCAAAACTATTGCTTATCATGCAACAACGTTACCATTTTATCGATTTCCTTTTGATCATTGCCGTGGAATTGACATAATTTGAAAACCATATCTGTATTTTTTTATTAAATCAGCGGCTCGAGTTGTCCCTGTTCAAAACGCTCGCGAGAACCTCGATTTTTCCTCTGTAGTTGGACGTTTTCGTTTTGGTGACATCGAAACTAAGCATTTTGAAATGATTCCGATTGACATCGAACATTGACGATAAAAGTTCAATAAGACAATAATATACATAAATTATTTTTTAAACTTTTATGAATAATCGGGAAAAAATATTTCTATTGAGAGCGCCCGCTATAAGTAGGTATAAATTAATGTATTTTGTCCATTACACTTAACGGGACCGAAATAATAGTTAAATAATATTGAGATAATCGTCTTATAAAGGTGACCGTCTTCGGTAGTTTTAGCGTACCACATTTTTAACCCTGTTGATATTTTATCGCATTTATTTATATTGCACAATATTCAGTAGTATTATATTAGATTATACGATTTGTAAACCGTACGTCATGTTCCACTGTTCTATCTAATGACTAACGAGTTTTAATGTTCATTTTTCTCAGTATAGTGGCTTATTACTTTTACAAATAGGTACTTACTACTAGTGTAGAAAAGAAATTGCAGAAGTATTATAGAATATATTTACCTTGGTAGTTGCCTATGATAAATTATAGTCAGTATTATGAACAGTATCAGTACGAATTGGTACCTACCTTCTATATTGTATTATAAAACACACTAATATTATAAGAGTTAACCGAGGAATGTATTGATTGCTATTATGATATGTCATGACATAGTCTTTTTTTATTTTGTCCGAACACGGTTCGAATCACAAACGATTTGTTACTTGCCCTAAAGCAGCCCTATTTTTCATAAAAAAATTCGTCCTACATATTTTTTCGTGCACAATGATATGATACAGATAGGTACGTGGATGCAAAGCCCCCCTACGTCCCCATTTACGTCATCACAGTGGTCTGAGAATAAAATTTTGGTGGCAAAAATAGGATATTAAAAATGTTCATAAAATTAATTTTTTTTCTAGGATCTCATTAATAGATGATTACTAGTGTAAATACAAAATTTAATTCTCATACAATTTATTGAACTGGAGTTATAACTAAGTGAACTAGACAAATTCGATTTTTTGTTATTTTAAAAATAAAAATGCCAATAGTTAGTTAATTTTTTGGCTTTTTGAAATATATAAAATGAAAAAAAATCTAATTGTTAAGTCACATTATAAGATAATAAAAAACTAATCTTTTAATCTCTTTTAAACAATCATTGTTATGGAAACGTACATTGTTGTAATAATTTTACAATAATATGACATATATATATATTGTTGAGAAAGCAACACTATAATCTGAATTCCGCTCAGAATTGTTTTTCATTAGCAATGGTTTATCGTTACTTACAGATATACATTCAACTCCCGTCTGTATCTTGCTTTCCCAACTTCCCACCCACAACAGTGACAGCACCCACGTGCGAAGTATGTACGTCTTTTTAAATTTAATTATTACAATAAAAATCGTAGTCATGTTAACAAGAATAATAAGAATACAATAAATATAATAAGAATATTCATGAATAATAATAATGACTAATGAATACGAGTAGTAATGAAAATTTTAATAATATTTATGAATAATAATAATAATCAGCATACTAATAACAACCATCAATATAAATAATAATCATCAACGAATATCATAATCATAATTTTAATGAGAGTAATAATAATAAACATAATAATAATAATAATATTGAGCAATTTACAAATGATAATTTATTAAGGGTAATAATAATAAGTAAAATAATAATAATAATAATCATCAATAAATATCACAATCAGCATTTGAATAAAATAAACAACAATAATCATAATCATATTTTAAATAAGAGTAATAATAAGTAAAATAATAATATTAATAATAATAATAATAATAATAATAATAATAATAATAATAATAATAATAATAATAATGAGTAATTTACAAATGATAATCATTATCAGTATTTTAACAAGAAGCATAATAGGTATTAATAAATGTAATGATCACATAAATAATAATAATCAATTATTTTTGTACATTTTTCGGTTTTTCCCATTTATTATGAAAACTCCTGAGAAAATCGAAAAGTGACCTCTCTAAAATACCACCTCAGGAAATATCCCATTCAGAAAATTTGCTACACTTGATACTTCAGAGCAATACTTCTGTCATAATTTTTTTGCCAGTATACAAAAATAAACATTATCGTAAAACCATCGCTGCACTCAGAATTTAAAACAAGTGTAGTGAGGTGATGAATTTCTTATTTGAAAGATTGAAGGATTTTGCAAGGGTAGATGGAGTATCTATAACACTGGAGTAATCTGTGTTTTCGATGTCCAAAATAAATAATGTTTGTTTCAGGTACATGGAGTGACAGTCATGGCAGGCGACGTAAACCATTGATTCTCATACCGATTTTTGGACAAATTTTATCAAATAGTTTATACTTTGTGAATAACTATTGGAATTGGCCAAGAATATTCGATGACATATTTACTTCATATCTCTCCGGAGTGTACGTCGGTCGAAATCTGTTCTGGATCGGTGCGATGGCATATGTATCAGAGAACTCTACAGTTGAATCGAGAACTTTGAAGATCGCAAAACTAATCGGGACATATACNTTGCCGCTTTAGTTGTCATATTTTTTATGAAAGACACTTCTGATTCATATGATAGAAATATGTTATGGATGAAACCAACAAATGTCTTTAACAGTTTTATCAGCTTGTTTAAAAACGAATCCAGAAATCGTGCTGTTTTTGGCATGTTGTTTACATGTCAATTAGCAGTAGTTGTCAGAGTAGGAGGTAAATTACATTATATTAAGTATACAATAATATAAATTGTTTTCTATATGTTATTGGAAATCAATGTTTCAGTGGAATATTTTTCAATAATGAATTTATTGGCATATGCATACATGGGTGATATAACATATGTTTATTTTAATATTTCCAAAATGGTGGCTGTGGTTTTTGGTAACTATTATTATTTTACATTGTTATTACTGTGTACAATATAAACTACACTCCTGTCGGGTGTTAATTATTTTATTTCTAAAACATTAAAATTCGTTTTCTGAAATCTGCCAGTATAAAGAACTAAGACTTTTTAAAAATATTTGTTAAATTATATTTTTGTCTATATTTATACAATGAGTATTCCTAATTACTTAAAAAAATTCTGTGCGCTAGAGAATGTATAATTCATTTCTATTATTAATTGAGCTTATTTTATTTCAGGTGCTTTGTTTTCCGGTGTTGTATTGAGTAAATGTATGAAAGTAAATGATATAGTCATTGGCCTCTTAACATGTAGTGTTTACATTGTTGTAGCCACATGCTATATCTTTGTAAACCGGCTCTATCAACATTGTATAAGTGAATATTAAATATATTTTATTGTTATTCATTATGATTATGTATAATTTGTACAATCAATATTTTTCTTATAGTTGTAATAATATATTTATGCCATGGATCCATTATTGTTATCATGACATCGTTAACATCTAAAATGGTAGAAACTGAAGAACTTGGTAGGTATTTTTGTCATATTTTTTTATTTATTTCGTATAATTATATTTTTTTAATAATATTATTTTAGGTCGGTTTAATTCTATCCAATCTACTATTGGTTCTGTTTTAATATTTTCTATTGCCGAAATATGTAGATTCAACAATCACAATAAAATGGTTCATTTATTTATGGTATTTTTTTTGTATGCGATTTTGACCTTACCCATTGTTTTAGTGTTAATGTAAGTAACGCTTTTTATCTGAATATTTAAATGCGGTTATTATTATTAATTCTATATTTAATTTTAATGTTTTTAGGTTTCTTTATTTCAAATGCAAAGATTGGTTGAAAACAGAAAACGTTACACTACAAAAAAATTCTGTTTATACTATATTATCTAGTCATTAAATATTGTTAATTATACATTTTATTTTGAATTTTTTTTAACTAACCTAATCTNCTATTAAAAACAAAAATATTTGTTGTTGTTTAAATTGTTTAACAGAATTATATTTTGTCGAAACATGGATGTCGTGTAAGAATATTGGGCAAAATGATGGAATAAATTGGTTATAACAGGTCAGGTACAACAAGGTGTTATTTTAACAATTTTTAAAAAAATTATTTGTATTAACCTTTTTATACTAGGTTTCTTAACAAAACTTATGGTGATATTAACCTTTTATTTTTGTGGCCTGGAAGTACTGTTCAGTAATGTTGTCAGGTGGCGGATCGCAACATGCATGCGCACAGGGCGTACTAGGCCCTGTTTGTCCACCATACTTTTTAAATTTTGTTTTTTAACTATAATCATTCAGTTTTTTTTTTTTAAATATATATACGTATAATAATATTTGTACCAATTAAAATCATAGAATAATATACAATTTATAATATTATTAATTGTTTATTTTACTGATACTAGCTATATTTTTTTTATTCCTTGAGTTTTAGAATGCACAATATAAATTGTAATACATAATTATATAAAATTATATTAATATATTTATATGTATATAATATTTGAATATATTATATTATAGGTATTAGCCTTTAGGTTATTAACTCACTGAAACGGTTTTGGTGAACGCGGTCAACTCGAGTTTACCAAATGTCCGCTGTCTAGTCTATTAAAGATTAGACATTTTCTTTTGTTTACTTTGTTTAGAAGTCATGTATGATTTTTTTTGTAAAATCTACTTAATTATGGCAATTAATGAAAGAGAAATTGAGACCAGATCATAAGGTAGTAAAAAGAGATACTGGAACAAGGCGTTAAAATATATGTTCTGCTTTCATAAATATTTAGAAAGAATTTATGGAAATATTGAATGATATAGAAAATAATACTTCTGAAAAACCCATAAATCGTAGAACAGCTACGGGTTTGAAAAACAACCTAAGCAAATTTGAGTCGGTCTTCATGTTCTCCATTTTGAACTTCTTTGTTAGAACGATTTAATAAAACAAGCAACATTTTGAAATCAATATTAGCTAATTTAGAAGATGTTTTTGATCTGTACAAATCTTTAATTGCTTATGTGAGCGAACTGATGAAATGTTTCATAAATTTATCGATGGAGCAAACAAAATTAGAAAAGAAGAATATGAATTGGACCAAAAACTTCGTGCGATCCCTTTTATGTGATGAACTAGACGAAGGTAATTTCAACGGATGAATCATTTTGAATAACCCTGTATAACTATAGATATAATTTATAAAACCGCCAGGTAATCTTTACTTTTTACAAGTAGTACTTGTAGGTATATTTAATAAGAACAACATTAAAATGCTGACTCTTGGAGAAAATTAATAAACTATTTGGATTTGTGTGTACAATATTTTATTTAATCTTTAGGTAGGTATATCGTTATATTAAATATGTATGTATAGTTTATAAATATTGAGTTAATTAAGAAATAAATAGCTAATGATTTATATGTACTGTGAAACTTGCCTTAACGGGCAAAATAATATGGTCCCGGCAAAAGGATAGGCATCCCAATATATTTCGACTTGTCTATAACAGACTCTTTCTATTACGGACATTGACAATAATATTTTTCACCAATACCTGGATAGTATAAGAGTATTACAGGAAGAATATTGAAAAACGAAGTAAGAGGAATAATAGTAGATAAATACTACATTAAAGTGCTAGGGTTTGCTGACGATCTTAACATCCTAGAAGATTCATTGGATGATATAGTGTGAACTACTGAAACTTAGAATGGGTAGCAGAACAAATAGGATCACAAATAAACACTGATAAAACAAAATTAATAGAATTATTAAACATTGAAACATCACCGAATGTAATTGAAACATTACCATATGAGAGAGTCAAAGAGTTTCAGTATCTAGACACACTACTAAGTACAAAAATGATTGAAATACAGTCAAGAATAACAAAAGCAGAGATTGCCCTGTTAAAGTTCTTTAAGTCTACATTATTTTCAAAGCGAACAAAAATAAGACTATACACATTAATAATAAGGCTTATACTAACATATGGTTGCGAAGTATGGATTACTACTAGTGTAACACAACGAAGACTGAAGACGTTCAAAAATAAAATTTGGAGAAGGATATGTTGCTCTGTTATGAATACGAGGACCGGTTAGTGGCGTAGAAAGTTTAATCAAGAATTGAAGGAATTATTAAAAATGATAACAATTAATGGTTTCATTAAGAGTCAAAGGATACAGTGGCTGGGACATGTAATACGGAATTAACTCTCTTATTAATTGTTTTAGTTGGGACTAACTGTTGAATAATATCATTTAAAATACAATAAAAAATAAATATCAACGTACCTTAAATGATATAATTCAGACCAGTCATAACCATATAAAATCAGCCGATTTTGAATCATATGCAAAATTATTTTTACATAAATGATAGCATAAGTGATATATTATATTCGTAAAATACTTCAACTACTTCAAGTATAGAATGATATTTATCAATAGAAACTAGTTCTTAAAAAAAAGAGATATAAAAATGTGTATTATACTAAAAAAAACCAAATATAGAGATATACCTGAGATATTAGTAATGAAGTTGTTTTGAAGAAAATTATTTTCAGAAAAGAAATCAAACAATATTTCGGAGCAGTCGGAAATCACGCCGTCCATATGTAAACCATCTTCGTCAGACAACTATGCAACGCCAGGTAAGTTAAAATCGCTTATAATTAATACTTTACGATTAGGTTCAAGAGTAGAGAGTAACTATTTTAAAGACTTAATGAAATTGACATATAGGAATGAGTGACTAAAAGGAGAGATATGACAAGCAACTAACACAATTTTATTTTTCAAACCAAGTTTAACCTCAACAATTCTATCAATTCAAAATATTCTTATCTATTCTAACAAGACAAAAGGAAAACAAATTTTAATTCATAATAGATTTTTATATCATTATCACTTGATAAGGTGCAAGATGAGATAAAATCTATTGGCGATGTGTAAATTCTATAGTTTGAAATGCAAAATGATAAATGATAATATTACAAATTTATTCATTGAAAAGAGTAGAGAAGAAAACCTACAATCTACTGAATATCATGCTAATTGCATTATTGCTGTTACAAAAATTATTGACATTTTAAAAATAAATAAAGTATTTAAATAATTAAATACTCTTAATGCAATTTCAATTGTTATATTCAAATTTATAACAATTTTACAAATTAATAAGTATTATTAATGCTATCTAATAGAAACTGTTTAAGGAGAACAGTTATAATGTACAAGATGGAGAAGAGATCACATTAGAGTACCAGTTAGTCTTAGAGACATTGAAATAGTCAAACTCTATTTTACGATACTAAGAATAATTTTTGTTATTTGATTATTGACGTAATAATCCTGATAGAAATAAAAAGTGTATAAAAAAAGAGGTTCTTATTTGAAAAATTAAAGTATATACTTATTTAAGGTTTATGGAGTAGGAGTAAATAATTAAAAATGGTTTTAAAATAAAGTTTGACGGATTCTATAATGATTAAAAAAAAAAAAACAGAAATTAAAATCACTTAAAATATACCGAGAAAATTGCTAGTTCATGATAGAAAAAAATATTCTGAATAATTATATAATAAAAAATTCTGAATTTTATAAATTAGACATTTTAACTGAGCATATTATTATTACACGCGTGGGTTAACGCGGCGCTTCGTATAGATGTTATCGAATTCGTAACCGATATTGCTATTTTTTTTTCCGTTTTTTTTCCCCCATTAGTTACCTGATACATGGTTTTGCATACAAAAATTGGGGTTATTTTTTGATTAAAAGGTCGACATAAGCTTGCATTTGAGTTGGTGAACGAAGCAAGTTTATAGTTTCCAAAGCACTGGTCTCGCGTAGAGAGGTTTAGATTTTTTAGGTAGGAAGTGCTAAGGTATAAGACGTAAGTTAGTAGCCTTTTCGGGTCAAAGAGCAGTGACCGCCCTGCAGTGCCTCACGAGTCTCCCGCAATTTTAACGATTATAATAACGTAGCGCTTGAATATTGTGTGTGAATTACGCGTACTAAAACCAGGTACTATAACAAAAACAGCAACACAATGACACTTACGCACGTACACGATCCTGTATGATTATTAGGTGCCCAGAAGCGTATTCCACGACCCTAATGCAGTTCAGCGCGGTGTGTAAATAAATAGGTATTTTATTATCTTAACAACAACCACCCGGTGATGGTATTCTAGTGCAGCGGTTCTTAATTATTTTGCAATCGCTGACTACCAGATGGCTTATTTAGTAGAATTACGGACCATTTTAGGTTTTGGATAAAAACCTTAAATATTAAAAATATAATTTTTTCAAATACAATACGGGATGGTACTGTCTTTATCGTGGGCCGGTAGTTGAGAACTGTTCTATAGACTAGAGCGTTGTTCATAAGTACTATATATATATTCAGGTTCGAACCCAACATATTATGTAAAATACATTTTTGCGTTGTTTTTTTAGGATTTCGTGCACCCAAAATGTATTTTTTCACAAGAAATTGGGGAATATTTTCGATTAAAATAGTCCAAGTGAACGATACATACCACGCTAAACTGTATTAGACCATTATAGGGTTTGGAAATGCGCTGCCCGGCACGTCTCTGATTGGTCCCTAAATTCGGCACTCGTTTGATTTTCTGGTGAGTGATCAATACATAATAAGTTTGTTGCTAGGCAGCAGGCGCGCAGTTACCCCTAGTTGTACCAGCTGTAGCTAGGGTGGTGGGGTGTAAGACCGTAAGACCAACAGTGGTATACTCCGTGCTACGAGAGAAGTAACCCGTTTCGCGCATGCGGACTGACGGCAGGGAGCGTTACTAGGATCCGTTTTCTCCACTTTGTCCTCTTCAGTTTGCAATGTGGCGTGCATACAGCGTAAAATAAGTGATATACAGAGTATTATATATTTATTAAAACCAAAGCATAGTGTATTGGAGTATTATTTTATGAACTAGTGCCGGCAAAGCTGAAATCCAAGAATCAAGTCTGATAAAAATATACTCGTTCAATCATGATTGGACTAATACTGTCTGCTGTACGCCAACGGTTTTCTTCATTGGTAAATATAAATTTAATCTCAAAATCATGCTAGTAAAACAATGTATAAGTATTTGAATTTTGAAGTAATATTATTATTAATTTTTAATTACTACTTATAGTAGGTAGGTTAAGTTAGACCTTCAAAAATAAATAGTACAAAAGGTATCAACAATTCATTTTTCCTTAAACAAATAACTTGAGATGTAAAATTTACGTACAATATTTTTTTAGTAAATTATCGAGAAAAAATTACGTAAATTTACCGTATAAAGTCGATAAATTTAGTAAATTTTAATATTTTTAGTTTTTAGTAAAAAGAAAACCCCCAGTTCTCTAAAAGCATTCTCTAGTCTCTACCACCTTATTATAAACTCATAATTTTTTAAATGTTTATTTTATTGTTTTGGATAAGGTTATTATGTGGATAATAATGTAATTAGTAATTAATAATTACATACTTATATAATTTATTGTACCTGTATGTTTTACTTTTTCTTTTATCTGAACATAAATGTTAAAAATTTACCCATAAAATAAATCGTAAATTGATCAAATCAGATTTCTATAGGTACTTAAAATTGCTATTATTTTATTTAAAATACTTTTGTAAGTACTCGTTTCATACTTTTACATCAACCATTCCATTTTATTGATATATTATGGATATTAGCCTCGTAAAGACGTTTGATTTGAGATGTCGTTTGCTAATTATTTTGGTAAAAATAAAATTGGTACTTTTACCGGGCTAACATCTCTACAAATAACAACATAATTGAATCTGAAGACGAAGATCTCGATGAAATACGGATTTAAATTTTATTTTATTTTGTTTACTTTTTATAATACACATAATTGTTTGTTTTCAATATTATGTTTATTGCTTACATTAAATATGTATTTATTATACATAGAAAGTGACTCACTTCGACAGATTCCTCGGTATAATACCATAGACATAATGATTTGTTATGTAATTATTTTTTTTAAATTTGTTTTAATTATTTGTTAAGTTTTAATTTTCATAAGTCTGAAAGTATGAAAAATATGGTTTGAATAATCCTTTTTAACAATATATAATGCACACAATTTGTTGTTTTTAATATTATGTTGATATTTCATATGTATTTTGTATAATGTATACCAGTGATATATTTAATTATTTATTATGCGTTGATTGTTATAAATAAGAAAAAAATGCAATGTAAAGTATAAACATGTATTTTTTTTTTAATGTGAGTGTTCATTTTTGAAATTAAGTTATTTTATTTTTTCAATTTTGATTTAATACTTTACTGGGCCGATTAATAAATGATCGCGGGTTGGATTTGGTCACCAGTACTCGCCACTGTTGTATACTAATATGTACAAGTTAATCCATTAAAGTGGGTACACTAGATATTTCAAAATGTATTGACTTTTTGAAATATCAAGTGAACTCTGTATAGGTATATAACAAGAATAAGTTGTTGTTATAGCATTTTTTTATTTGTTATAATAATTAAGGCTGTGAATTTATAGGAAAGTACATTTTTTTTAGCCGAATGTGAAACGTAGCTTTCATAATTTGGATTAAGTAATAACAAATTTATTTATGGAACTTTTATTTTGCATTTGTTTACGTTTACAGTTTTTAAGGTCATTTTTGGACTTTTTAAGTCATATTTTTCTTTTTAGTTCATTTTCCGGTATTTTTTTTATTAAATTCCGCCAATTAATTTCTTTACACACATATTTTTTGTTTTACACAGATTTTATAAACGTAAATTTATATTTTATAAAATGATATTTTACACAAGCTGGTTGTATTCGGGTTAGGTAAAGATAAGGATTCGATAAAATAATGCAATATTGCAGAAATCAACTAGAATTCAACAATCAAATTCGATAAACATTTTTATAATATTTTTTCAAAGAAATTTCTTTTATTAAATAAATAAATTAGTACATATAATATTAAAATAAATATAAAAAATAAATTAAAAATCATTTTAAATTGCAGTTTTTGCATCAGCAATAATAATGCTATCACTCAGTACGTTGTCATTTTGTTTTATACAATCATTATCTATTGTTCCGTATTGATTTATTTGCTTTCTCATTTATAAATTACCATAATTTTTTGTGATTAAATTTGTATTTAAGAAGTAAATTCTGATACTAAAATTATTTTTACTTTATTAATTAAAAAAAAAAAAAAATCCGATTTATATAAGTATATCAAAATTGTATTTTTTAAATTAATGTCAAAATTACTTACAGATAATTTCTTAGTCAATATGTACTTATTTCTTATATAGAGAAAATCGTGCACTTAGTTGACCAATTTTTAAAGTTTTTATGTCTATTCGAGGCCTTTAGCATTGTCTAAATTTAAAAAAATCATCCAATAAACTGTAATATTTTCATTAAAAAGTTTTGTTATATGTCGTATTCAAAACGGAACTTTTCAGGGCTACCAAATTTTTAAATTCAAAACAAGATATAAATATAAATTCACAAGGGTCCGTGAAAATTGGTCGGAAAGTAGGAAAATCGAAAATCTGATGGATGGAGTTTTTTCTAGGATGGTATAAAAACAAAAAAAATATGTGACGATTTTCGATACTTTGACATTTTTTTTTCAGATCCAAAAGCCATACTTCAACCACCCCCTGAATATGTTGTGGTTATCTAGACATATTATTCAAGGAGCAACACTAATTTATTCTAATATTTTAATAAAATAAAATATTAGATATAGTATTTATATTGTTTAGTTAATATAAATACTATTGAACCTTGCATTTATTATTATTTTAGATTATTAGATTTCAGATATTTTAGATTGGTTTTACAATGATTATTTTTTTTTCTATATTTCTATCAGAAAAATTTTTTTAATTGAAAAATTCGAAGAGACCTTTTTTGATGAATTATGGATCAAGATAGTACTTTAAGAAGATCATTTTTTGATTTTCTAAGTGGTTTTTATAATAATTAGGAAAAAACTTAGGAAAATTTGGGAAAATTTACAAAATGTATTATTTAAAATTTTATTTTAAATTCTGAATGTAGTGAAGAATTCATTGGATTTACAAAATTATTATTTTTTTATTATTATTTTATTTTTATGTGAACACTTTTTTTTACCAAAAAGCTACTTCTGTGTATATAACGTAGAACTTTTTCTGAATGGAAATTTGACTAGGAAGGTGCTTTATAGTGGTCATTTTTCGATTTTCCCAAGAGTTTTCCCAGCAAATATAAAAACATGGGAAAATCAGGAAAAACGTAGGAAAAACAGAAAAATCGGTACAATTTCAACGAATTTTATTAAGGAAAATATATAATGCCTATTTAATTATTTTGCTATAATATGACATATACATTGTTGACAAATCATCATTATCAATTAATCTCCGCTCAGAATCGTTTTTTCGTTAGCAATGGATAAACCAATGCTAACGAAAAAAACGTTTCTAAGTGGAATTCAGTTGATAATGATGCTTCGTCAACAATATGTATATCATTTTACAGTAAAATAATTAAATCAATATTATGTATTTTCTTTAATAATATAGATAATAATATTTGTTTAATATTGTACCGATTTTCCCATTTTCCTTGGTTTCCCCATGTTTTCCCGGTTTTTCACATTTGTTGGGAAAATCGAAAACAACCTGTTTAAAGTATCACCTCAAGAAAATGTCTTTACAATACGGGGCGCATTGTCATTTAAAGTATTCGGTGTAACACAATAGAAATAGTCCAGAAAGCTGCATACAAAATTGTATCTACAATAGGTACGAACTTATTCACCATGCTATTTTGAATTTATCTCTACTAATTTCTTATTTGCACTCTTATTTTATTTTATGATATTGAATAACTTATTCGTTAGCAAAATAAGTATTTGTTAAAATGGGTACTTATAATATTGGTTTAAAATTTAAAAAAAATTGTATCTTATATTTTTCAAAACTTTTTTATGATAGCTCTATAGTAAATTATTAAATTCATAAGTATAATTATTGTGGTAAACTAATCTACCTAGTGTGTTATCAAATTTTGAATTTTATTAATCATGATTATTTTGCTTTTTCAGTATACCAATTTTAGAATTTCCAACGGTAGGCCCGTTGTATACGAAAAACCGAAAAAAGTTAAGGGTTCCGAATATGCTTTGTTACTAATGACGGCACTCTATACCGCATCGTTAACTTTGTCTACCACATATGAAAGTCGGATATGGCCACGAACGTGCGAACCAGTCATTCCGTTTGGTGAATGCGCTGTAGGCGAAATTGAATATAAATTCGAAATAATCATTGAATATTCGCCTATACAAGTTTGGATTTCATTTGCAGTTGTAGTAGTGGCAGGTATGTATTATAGTTATTAGCAGAAGTTCATTTTGAGAGGGAGGGGACTAAGTACTTCAACTAATTTTTTGGATATTCTAGTGTATCCCTAATTCTTTTTAAAAGAAGAACTCATGGGATGAGTTATTATTAAGCTTAGATTCTGAGAGGAGCGAAGAAGTTTATGGTTTTATAAAGATATTCATTTTTTAAAATTTTTTTTTCTGTGGACAACTTTTCTGTCAGTGATTTTGCTCCAATTTATAATGAAAGCGATTTTTCTAAAAAGGAATTAAACTGGAAAGGTACTTTATAGAGGTAATTTTTCGATTTTTTAGGAGCTTTGCTCAACAAATGTGAAAAACCGGGAATAAACATGGGAAAACCAGGAAAAATAGGAAACTCGGTACAATATTAAACAAATATTGTTATCTATCATTATTAAAGAAAATATATAATACCGATTTAATTATTTTACCATAATATGACATATACATATATTATTGACAAAGCATCACTATCAACTGAATTCCGCTAAGAATTGTTTTTTCGTTAGCAATGGTTTATCGTTGCTTACAGGTATACATTAAATTACTTATAACAGTGGCTGCACCCGATCCCATTATCCTAGATATTTTTCATAAAATTGTTTAACTTAAATTTTTGTGTTAAACATATAAATTTTACAAAATTTTTTAATACGTTTCATAACATGTACTGATATCTCATATCTGATAGGTACGTGATAATTGATAGGTATCAATAATAACCATTTATTGGGCATGATAGGTTTCCGACAAAAACGTACCTTCCCCTTTTCCACCGATACTCGTTTCCGCGAAATCATAAACTTGTTCTATTTTCTTTTTTGCCAAAATCGTACTTTTCTCTTTTCCACCAAATGAAAAAATTGATTGTTATCTATATATATATATATATAAAATCCAAATACCACTGACTCACTGGTCGCTGTATCTCAAAAACTACTTGACGTACGAATTTGAAATTTGGATAGTGGTTTCTCTAATACTTTCACCGTGATATAAGAAAGGATTTTTGAAAATTCAACCCCTAAAGTAGTAAAATAATTGTCTTTAAGTATATTTGGTATGAATATCTAATTGCTTATTTATTTATTTTTGTTTATTTAATGGTTACATTGTTGTTATAGAAAATAAAACTATTAAAATAACTATTATTATTATTACTATTATTTGCACTATTAAAATTTCATAATAGAACACATTTAGTCCGTAGAAGACGGACTACCCAATTTTCACCCTTTTGTTTTCATTTAATTCTGACTTGGCAAAAATCAATAATTAATATGGGTAAAATAATAATAAAAATTGGCACGTACAACGCCGGGCGTGGGACAGCTTTATTTGAATATTAATGGACAATTGCATATATTACAATTATTAATTAGACAAAAAAATAAATTTAAATTAAATTAAATGTAATACCAATATTTGTATTTACTTTTATTCTCTTAAATTTTCAGGTACAACTTTGTGAAAAAAATATCTTATTTATATTGCCAATAAGAATTTATATTATATCATTTATATTTTTAATTTAATTTAATTTAATCACTCATGTACAACCATTTTAGATTCTGAGTGGAACGAAGAAGTTTATGGTTTTACAAAATGTTTATTTATTTTTTTTTTATTAATCATGTACAACAATTTTTAATATTTTTTGTGAATATTATGAAATTTGTTTTATAATACAATAATAAGACAATCGTCCATTAATATTCAAATATTATACTAAATTTTTTTATTTGGTGGAAAAGTGAATTGGTGGAAAGGGAAAGGTACGTCTTTGGCGGAAACGGGTAACTCCCCCATTTATTATCTATAAATCCAGGTGACAAGTAACCACTGACCTATTATAGTATTATCACTGTACAAAAATGAACGTCCCTTCGCCTGAACAATTTTTCATCTGATTCAAATTATAAAATCAAATATAAGAGCTGGAAGGATTTTATTCAGCAATAATGTACTCCACCTAAAAAGCCTCTATAAATAAAATAAAAATGTGTACATAATACATATATTTTAACATAATTTACATTTGATTAAATTTGATTCATATAAATGACATAAATGAAATTGTATAAGATCATACGATTCATACTTACATCATGTTTCACTTTTCTATATCCCATAATATTTTATCCATTTTTCTTAATAAAGTTGATTACATTTAAGTAGGCGCCTACTTAGTAGGTAGTGGGTACCTATTTTAAATGTAGATACGACACATGAACGGCTGTTGAATAAACCCAAAAATTAAATTGTAACTAGCATTAGTAATGATCAGTAAATACTAAATTGTATTATAAATTATAATACTAGATTCTGAGGGGTCAAGAAATGTATTGATATTAAATAATAATTTATTTAAAATGATGTCGATGTACAGGGCTTTTTAAATTATTCTTTCTAAACGATAATTAGATTTAGTAACTATTAAACTGTAGTATTTTGTATTTGTCTAGATTATTTTGTTTTAAAATTGGCACTAAATATAAATTATGTTTATTTCAGGTACATGGAGTGACATTTATGGCAGACAACGTAAACTATTGATTCTCATACCTATAATTGGACAAATTTTTTCGAATAGTTTTAGACTTGTGAATTACTATTGGAATTTCCCTTATATACTCCATGCCATTTTCACTAAAATTATCCCTGCAATGTACGTTGGTCGAAATTTGTTCTGGATCGGTGCGATGGCATATACATCAGAAAACTCAACAGTTAAATTGAGAACTGTGAAGATCGCAAAATTAATCGGGACATATGCCATTAGTTCCTTAATTGGATTGGGTTTAGTTAAAATATTGGACCTAGAATTTAGATGCCTATATATATATAATCATTTATTGTTTACTGTGCCAATATTCTTAAATATGATGGCCGTTTTAATTGGTATAATTTTTCTTAATGACACTTCTGTACCACATAATAATACAAATATGTTATGGATCAAACCAATGAATATGATTGATGATTATGAAATATTATTCGATGTCACACCTAGAAATCGTGTTATGATTTTTAAGACGCTGTTGTCATGTCAAATAATGGTAGTAGTAAGAGTAGGAGGTAAATTATATTATACTATTATTAAGATTAAACAATATAAATTGATTTGAATCAATATTTTCTTAAAATAAATTATTTCAGTGGAATATTTTGCAATAATGCATTTCTTGACAGAACCACTCAGGGATGATAAAACTACATTTTTTTATTTCAGTATTTCCAGAACGGCGGCCGTGGCTTTTGGTAATTGCTATTATTATATTGTTAATACATTGTAAGATTTTTAAGCGAATCTCTATTGTATAAAAACTTGTTGATATTTATGACTTCCACATGTTTTATATTTTATATGTGTAACCATGCAATACGAGTTACAGGGGTTAACGAGAGAAGCGAATTACATAGTACTTATTGTAATAATAAACAAGTGATTTTTTTTTTTGGAAAACGTTTTTAATATTTGTTTCCAAAACCTACCAGTTTAAAGAACTAATAAAATTTCTAATCGGAAATTACGGAAGTCTAGAAAATTTAATTTGTAAAAAAAAAAAACCAAAAATAATATAATCATTGTCAAATAATATTCTTGATCGTGCTAATTTTTTTCAGGTGCTTTGTTTTCCGGTGTGTTGAGTAAATGTATAAATGAAAATGTACACGATATAGTTATTGGCATTCTAACATGCTGTTTATACATTGTTGCTGCAATTGGCTATATCTTTGTTAATCGTTTCTGCCAACTTTTTGTTTGTAAATATTATATGCTTATGTTTATTATTATTATTATTATTCATTCTAGTTTTATACAATTTTTGTTAATCGACATTTTACTTATAGTCGCAATGATTTATTTTTGCCATGGATCCATTATTGTTATCACAACTTCAATGACATCTAAAATGGTAAAGATTGGAGAACATGGTATGTATTTTATCATATTTTTTTAAAATTTCATATATGATTATACTTTTATAACTATTTTATTTCAGGTCGGTTAAATTCTTTCCAGTCTGCAGGCGCTATTATGTTTACACTTCTCATTGGTGAATTTAGTGGGGTCTGCAATGAAAACGAAACTATTCATTTGTTTTTGATGGTTTTGCTATATGTATTGTTTACGGTACCCATGTTATTAGAGTTTATGTAAGTAACATATTTCAAATAATTTAAATGATATAGTTAATATGAATCCTTTGTTTTTTTAGTGTACTCTATATCAAATATAAACAACTACGCGAGAAAATAATCACTACAAAAAAAACACAATACATTTCTATCTACAATGTATCCTAGTCATTGAATATTATTACCCACTTGAATATTTTACTTAATACTGATCTTTTATACCTATTTACATATCTTTTATACCTATCTATTAAACATTTTACTTGTAAACTTTTATACCTATTTATTAATGTAGATTGTAATTTATTTTAATTACAAAAATATAGACTAGAGTCAACAATTATATTAAAAAAAATTTAAAAAAAAAAAAAAAAAAAATGGTTTGCTTTTATTTAAATGTTCAGTAGAATTTTATTATAATCTATGGTGTTTCTATAGGGTATACTACACATACCGCACCATATACTCTCAACATGTCGCCGAAAAATTATAGGTATACTGTATTATCTCAAATAGTTTTGATAGTCAAAATAGTCAAATAAAAAAAAATAAACAAACAAAAAACAAATTTGTCGTGATACATATATTTATCAATTGTCTATTCATACCATCTTATGCAACTTAAAACCATAATAATAAAGTATTATATATTTTACTTACTTCAATAATTATAGCTAAAAATTCACAATATTCTTACGGTTTACGGTAATTTTTTTCATTCAATTTTGAGTGTTTTATTTTTAAAATTTTAATTTAATTTCACGTAAAATGTAATAGTATACGTATACTCTCGAAAAAATATATGGGAATACCAGTGATTATAATTATATTGTATCTCACGTGTATATAATTCAAATTTAAAAAACATATTGGGTAAAATTATTAAATGCATATTTTAGTTTAGGTAGGTATAAGTAAATATGGGTAACAGCTTTTAAATTTATTTTTTCAAAAACCACTATATACTGCCATAGCCAGAAGGCACTACAGGAGATCGTGGCACGGTATTCACTATCAAAAACTTTTGTTTTATTTGTTATTTTGATGTATTTTATCAAAATTAATTTCAAAATATAGTAGTAACTTTTTTCTGGTTTCGGTACTGAATTTACTATAACCAATTTTCTAATAAATTAGGTAATCACCATGACGTAAAGCAATCATTAAATCAAAATATATACATTTTTTTTTCAGAAATTGTTTTGTAGAAATTATAAGAAACAAACTGCTCTAAAATATTACATTACTGTTATTTTATGTCGACCAATTTTCCGAAAGTGAAACCACTACCTATTCTTATTTTTCAAATAGCTGTCTTGCTACCTATATAAAAAAACACCAAAATGTATTTATAACAATTTTCCATCTATTTATTTCTGGAATTTGTTATATAGGTTGCCATTTGAAAATCAAAATTAGGTAATTAAAAATATGGTTGTTATTGGCAACCGTTTTTATTTATTTTTCGTTATTATTAAGCTTTTAATATTTTAATATTTTTTAAATAATTATTGTTGTCATGGAAACGCACATTGTAATCATTTTACCATAATATGACATGTACCATATTGTTGACAAAGCAACATTATCAACTTACCTCGACTCAGAATCGTTTTTTTAGCAATAGTTTATCGTTGCTTACAGATATACATTAAATTCCTGTCTGTAGCCTACCTTACCAATTTCTCACCTACAACATTGGCTGCACCTACGAGCGAAGTATGTCCATCTTTTTTTCAAATAATGATTCAACACATGATTTAAAAGGCCGTAATATTTACAATCTTCGTCATATTTGATATTGCAATTCTTTTAGAAAAAATAATACTACATAAAGTTCAATTTTGTTTTTTTGTTTTGAACATAAAGTACGATATTTATGGGACCTCCTGTGAAAGTTTCAAGCATTTCGAGTAAAATTCACAAAATTAAAATTTTTATAACAAGTTCAAAAATTGGATCAAATGTTTTGAAAATTGATCACATTTAAAAACAATAAATATACGTTTTCTGTACATATTTAAAGTTTTTATGAATTTTCTTGTTGAATAACAAGTAAAAAGTATTATTTTTGTAAGCGTTTCTGTTATTTCTACGGTTTTTTTCGATTTTGCTCAATTATGAAAAACACTACATGGAAAATTAAAAATACGATTTATATTAGAAAACATAAGCCGTACAAATTTAAAATAATGAAATCGTAATTTGGAAAAAAATCGTATATTTCGTTTTTTTTGGTTTTTCCCAATTATTATGACAAATACTTTATCAAAAAACGATATACTTTGTCAGTGGCGAAATATTATAAGGAGAAAAGTCGATTCATTTTCATTTTTATATTGGTGCAATATTTCTGCTAGAAAACATCGAGTTATCACAACAAAAACGGTAACGACGCGACGCAAGTTTTCTGGTGGAAAAGCGATTCGCAGACTAAAAAAAAAATAAAGATATTCACGTCATAGTAAAACCAATAGACTCCTCGCTACACTCCGAATCAAAAAAAAAGCCCACAATCGAAATATTCACTATCTCTAATGAATATTTAATTGGGTTAGACATTAAAACGTTTTTATTTATCGCGATTAGCATGTAGGTTTATTAGAGACGCGTTCTCGTATATATTATTATAGTCTTCAAACGTCATCGTCGATTAAAAAATGTTTATCACACTTTAATTATATTATTATTATCTGATGTTTTTTTTTTTTCAAACATAATATGTTTTATTACCCATTATATTTTATTGTATTAATTTCATATGTTATCATAACGAATAATTGCGATGCGAATGGCAGACCGTTTAAAACCGTGTATAATCGGTATAATCGGTCGGTCGGGTTTTGAGAGCTCTTCACTCATTATTTACGAAAGTATAGATAATTGTTATTACACACAGATCGCTATTTGTTCGTCAAAATAATTTACCGAACCGACAGTAGGTACCCACCTATAATAATAATCGTCTTGTGATCTTCTTCACATCATCGAAATATTATTATTATCAATTATTATTATATATTATTAATAATATTATAATATTATAATATTATTATTATTATTTTATTATTATTCGTTGTTTATTGTTTTGAGACTTATTTTTTTTTGTATTGTTGTCAAATTATAATAATTGATATTTGACAGTAATGCGGAATAGGTTTTCATAATGCTTTCCCACTGCTGCCGTCGTTCATTAATAATCACAAGTAATGTTTACGAACTTGTTTTCCCTTTTACGGAATGAGCTAAGGCAAGCAATTAAAAAGTACAATACGTCGATTTAAGCAACTAGCATTGTTACACAATAGCCTAACCTAACTTAACTAATGTCCAGAATCAATGTCTTCACGACCCGGTTCATGAATCCGCCGGCCAGGTAGCCCGTCCTGCTATTCCCACTCCGGATCCGGTTAGTTGAACCCGCACCGGTTGGCCCTAGTCTCGGTCTCCCTTGTTCTCTCGTCCTGTTCCTTACGGAGACTTGCTATGAATAGACGAGAGTTTAAACACGAGTGACAATAACAAACTGACAGCTATTGGGTAAATTATGGGTTTTTTAGAGTAGGGTTTGACGATTGTACTTTTATGCACTAAAAATGAAATATCTTCACAGAACATCTACTAAATAAAAATAACGTGAAAACTCGCAATATAATGGTTGATCTGTCATACTAAAAGCTAATAAACAAAAAAAAAACTTTATTAATTACAAGCAAAATTAAAATGTTTATAAATAGCTCAAAAAAAGGCTAAAACGTTTTGAAAAATGACCGCGTCTAGATAATGTAGGTATAAGTTTTATCTCAAAAATTTCAATTCTCTGCGAATATTTTTAACTGAATGACAATTCACAACAACAAAAAAAAAAAAAAAAAAAAATTAAAAATAGTAAACATTTTGTAAATGTTACCGTTTTTTTTTTCAATTCTTGAATAATTCGGAAAATAAAAAAATGACTTCTCTAAAGTATCACCCCAGTGTCGAGTGGGCACATCAACGAGTACAAAGTGCGCGTACCACCGCCGGGTGTCCATTGTACACAAATGTAATCGAATTCAATATTATTCTGTCGGGTTTCTTTCGTCCGTGCCGGCATCGAATTTTCAATTAAGAGGACGTTTATACCCGCATCTACTGTCCCAGTCCAACTACCGGGTGACATGTGAAAACAGTGCTTGCGCAGAATAAGTAAAACTATCTTAGTTTTGATTTTAGAGTAAACGTACCGATTATGAAATTTATAGAGAACAATATTTCGGAGGCAATGGGCATAGGTGTTTATTGAATTGTGACCTATTGGAAAAAAAAAAAAAAAAGGTTTTCGTATCTATTATATCGGTCTGCCTATTTCGTATATTGCAAAAACCCTACGACGTTCCCCCCAGAGTAATGTTCTCCACACATTCCATAATAGGTTAGGTTGGGTGTATTTACTCTAAAATCAAAATTTAGCAAGTTTTGCTTATTCTGCGTAAACATAGGTTTTGTGCGTTTTCCGGTAGTCGGACGGAGACAACAGCTGCGGGTCGTAATACGCTTGTTGTCGCGATTCTGGCGGCGGCGGCGGCGGCGCGGGGTTATCTCGTTTATTCGTCGCGTTTATCGTCCGAACGGCTGCGGCGGCGGCGGGACACTACGAGTTGCACCAGTGTCACGGTCCCGGCACACAATAACACTGCAAACGCGTTGGCATTGCGTGGAAGGGGATGGATTGGCCGAAAATTCGAAATAGGCGCGTGGCACCGTACCTACGACTCACAGACGGCGACAGTAGGCTCCCGGGCCGAGCGTCGTTCGCGTATGCCGTGCCGCTCGTTCCGCGTCCGATTGCTAATGGCGATTTAAAATATTATTACTGACCGTCCGCTCGCCGGCTCATAACCGCCGCGCAATACCATGGCGCGCGCGATATGCCACCGGTCGGTGGAACTCGTGACGTTCTTGTTCTCCGCGTCGCTGTCCATGTCGAGTTTCGCGCAGAACAACCTGCTACTGCGGAAGGAATGCAATTCGTCGGTGCCGTTCGGAGAGTGTACGGATGGCGAGGCGAACGCCCAGCACGCCGTGTCCGTCATCTACTCGTGGAAAGCCACCATCCAGTACGCCATTCCGGTCGTGATGATCGTGCTGGCAGGTGAGTCGCGCGCTCGCCGCGTTCCCCGGGCCCACTGACCGGCCGCCTAACCCGGCCGCGGTTGTACACCGCCGCCGTTGCCGTCGGACCGCCGTTTTACGTTCGGTCTGGCGCGCGATAACTGGTCGAACCCTACGACCCGTGACCGGCGACAGTGGGGAGATTGGAATCGCACATCCGATCGAACCGCTATTGCGCAATTACGGCCATTACTTATTAATACGCGTCAATTGCATAATACGGAGTTAATGCGCTATTTAATATGACATAATATTTTGTGTGCGCAAACTTGCACATGTATTGTAGAATGTTGAAATAACGATTTTGTCACACAACTCTTACCGCGGTATCGGGAAATATTACAAGTTAAACACCGGTACTTACCAGCGCTACATGCAGAAGTTTGTATAGACCCGGGAAAATTGTGATGTTAATGATTAATTTAATACACGTCAATATCATTTTTGGCAATGCGATTTTCCATTATTCACATTTCGGTATTAAAATTTCTTCTAAAAGCAAAAACAAATACAATATGGGTAGTATACGTTTTTAAGACCGAAAATTAAAAAAAAATTTGTATTATATATTTTAACGAAATTTCGAAACATTGCCCATCTAGTGAATCAACTAGAGACCACAGTGATACAAGAAAAGCTCTATTATTTTTATTCTTCTTACGGTAAGTCTTTTAGTCGAAAATTAACTTTGCAAGAAAAAAAACCAAAACGGGTAAATAGGATGAACTGTTGAAAATGTCTAAAAGTGTCATAAAGTACCTGCCACTTAACAGAAATTCTAAATTTATTTAGGTACTGTGTAAAATAATTAGGGCATTAGTTTAATCAAAAAAACGGATTCGAAGAAAAAAGAAAAAAGAATTTTTAATAACATTTATTTAACGTTTACTTTTTAAAAATATTTCAAATAAAGTACGACCAAGCGGAAATATATATTTATTGACACTGCATGACAAAAATCAAACCACGTTTTATAACTAGAAAATAAAAACAAATCTTTGAATAACTAATAGCTGTTTCGTTATTACACAGAACAGAATATAAAATTAATGATTTTTCACTATATAACAAAAGACTTTACTTCATACTGTTCAATAAATGCTAAACACTAATCATATTTTAACTTCATAAATTCGTCAGTAGAACCCGAATTTTTTAAACGTTTTTTTTGAAATTTAATTTTCAAACCCGAAATAATACTGTCAAGTATGTATTTATTTTTATCGATTAAAATAAGACTTAGAAAGTTAGATAATTATATCTTTAAAAAAAAAAGGCAAAGAGAATTTTTTTCTTGCATGAAAAGCTGTAAAAATTTTTGAATAGGCTTGAATAGATTTTGGGGAGCTATAACCTCTTTAGCCATCCACGTCCATGGTTGTAACTATACCTACACAACATTTGTTAACATAATTTATTGTATAAATATTTAAATATGATTGAAAATTAAAAATTAAAGTTTCTTCAATATTATATTAACATTTCAAAATAATACAAATTGTTTTTATTAAAAAATAATATATAATAATAATTATAAAACCTTGGCTTTAACAATATTTAGTTTTAAATGAAAATTACTTGTTTATTTATAGTTAAAATGTATCAATAGAAATATTTAGTTAATATTAATATTTTCATATTTATTAAAAATGTTTAATTCAAATTGAATTTAAAGATTTTTCTAATTTGAAAAAGTACATTTTATTGCAAATAAAAGTTCAAAGTTTTTTAAGCATTAGAAATTAATGTGTACAAAGTATCAATAACTATATTTATTAAAATATGCAATTACAAATATTTATTTAATATTAAAATGTAACAACTTTGAGTATTTTCTTTATTTGCTCCACTGACTTTTTCGTAATTTTATTATTATATATATATATATTAATTATATAATTATGTATTATATATAAGCACGGAATTTTTCATTTAAATATACGTGCAATGTAATCACAACATGTAAAAATAAAACCCAAATTAAACCATTGATACCGAAAAATTATTCGGATCGAAGTTTTGTTATACATAATGTATTGAAAAAAATGTATAATACAATTTTTATACAAAAAAAAAATACTATATTTAATTCAATAATTTCATGTCAACCACTAAGTACAACTTAATTATTATGATGAACATTTTGTTAAATTTTCGAGCATTTATGTTTAGTCTATCAATTTTATTCACCGAGTACCCATACATAGCAAATAAAACTACGTAAAAACTCCCAAAATTAAAATGTCCATTAATAGTGAAAAAATGACTCAAATGTTTTGAAAATTGCTAAAATTGAGAGCTAGTAAAGTTTTCTGTCAAAATGTGTTATTATTACATCTTTAAATTTCGTTATGCAGGTATTTTTTATAGGATAGTATGTTCACTGTTCTGTTAGTGTTATGCACGCTGTACGCGTCTTATTTTTCGCGACTCCCGGACGTACGGTTTTCGTTTTCGAAAATATTTTCCGAAAACGTGTTTCGCGGTCGTTGTCCGACGCTCCGTTATCATTCGTTATCGTTCCGCTCTTTACGCGTTGGACCGGGCGGCCGTTGTCCGACGCTCCGTCGTTCGCCGTGGAGGAGCGCCCGTTTTATTTCGCCGTAGTGCGATACCGCTTTTTTTCGGTCGTTTACGCGTAAAAATCGAATATTTGTCCGGTTGATACGTCACTTATACACCCGTGAAACGGTTGCTTTCTTCAACAATTGGCTGTGGACGTCTCGAGTTGCGAAGGGTTCCCGGTTCGATTCAAGGCGGCGGCGCGGCCTCTATGCACTCTGTATGGTAACGCGGCCACCCGCGCTGTCAGATTTTTGCGTTTTTTTTTCGCGGATTTTCGTTCGTTTTTTTTCATAGTTTTGTTCGTGATTATATTAATTATTGTTATGGTTATTTATATTTGGCGTTTTTCAGATTCTGGGTGAAACGAACAATGTATCGGTTTTACAATTGTGTTTATTATTATTATTATTATTATTTTTTTTTTTATGTGAACACTCTTTCTACCAGAAAGTTTAATCCGATTATCAAGTATAACACTTGTTCTGAAAGCACATGTTCTCTGGGTGGTATTCCAAAGAGATCACTTTTTGAAATTCTCATTAATATTCGAGATATTGAGAAAAACTCGGTTCTTTAGGTTGAAAATGATTGAAAGACTAAAAATAAGGTTATCATTGGCAACCGTTTTTATTTTTTTTTTTTGTTATTATTAATTTTTATTATTTTAATATTTTTTAAACAATCACTGTTGTCATGGAAAAGCAATATTATATACCGAGCTATATTAAAATAATATAAATTTCGATTTAAATACATCCTTTAACTATTAATTTGTATATTATATTTCTTTATTCTATACTCAAGCATCACTATCAACTGAACTCCACTCAGAATCGTTTTTTCGTTCGCAATGGTTTATCGTTGATTATAGATATACATTAAATTCCTGTCTGTTCCCTACCTTCCTAACTTACCACTTAAAAAAGTGGCTACTTCCACATACGAAAGTACAATAATAGTAATAGTGTAGTAGAGTACTTTAAAATCAACTTTTAAACGCCGAATTTGGTAGATTAGCTGTTGTTTGCAATATTTCATTGGTCTATAATTGTTACCATACAAACAAAATTATAAGTAGCAATTAAAATATCAAGTACAGCACAATCTGCATTTAGGCTATATCTATATAGAACCGCATAATATGCGTTTGTGTCGCGGTTTATAAACAATTATAATATGGGGTGCAGTTCTTATTAAGTATTAAAGTAAACATATTTTGTTTTTAAAATATTATTACAATTATTATTTGATAATGAAAATATACATCACCTTATTGAGAATCTATACTAATAAGCCTTATGCGCAAAAAAGAAAAAATGTGTAAACAAATTATGAAGCTTGCTGTATGGATAATATTCTCGTCTATTTATTGTGCAAATATAATATTGAACACGTACAATTATTATGTTAACTCTTTGGTAGGTACTTGTCATTTGCTTTTCACTAGTAAAAGAATTGGCGTGATACTCTTGTCCATTATTTTTGCGGGCGTCCGCTATAAACAATGTAATCAGTAACGTAATATGTATGGACGGCATTCGTGTATAACGGATATATATATTTTTTTAATAATTACTAAAGGAGATTATTTCTGAATACGTTATGGAATTTGTTTTTCAAATACGTTCCTTTTATATATAAATTACTATATACAAATAGATAGATAGACACACAAAATTAGGCGCATTACCCAGGCACCAGTAATTTTAAAATCATACATTTTAACCATGAAGTATTATGTACTTTATTTTGTACAATTTTGTACAACCAAAATTAAATTGTGTACGAACATCCAAAATCTTCAAAATTCACTAATTCCCGTAATATTGCGAGAATTTTCTCGCATTCTTGAAAGAATCGTTTTTTCGTTCGCAATGGTTTATCGTTAATTACAGATATACATTAGATTCCCGTCTGTTCCCTACCTTCCTAACTTACTACCTAAAAAAGTGGCTTCACTCACATGTGAATTAAATCTGTCCTTTCTTTATTGTTAATTTTAACATTAGGATGGATGCCTTTAATCAAACCTGAAGGTAAGAGCTTTGTCTAATTCAAGTGAATTACGAATATGTGAAATATAACAATTTAAAAATAATCTTATCTCGCTTAAAAATTAAAATATCGACAATAAACCACAATACAAAAACGGACAATGTTCCTACCTTTAGGTTTTATAATAGGCAAATACACTCTTATGTTTACAATAAAAGCACCAAATTATCGAAAAGTATAAATATAACGCTATTTCATAATGGGCAATTTCATCGATGGGGCAAATATTATAATATAATTATCCTAACAAATATGATAAATGTGAAAGTAAGTCTGACTGTAAGGCACGTCTAAACCACTGAACCAATTTTGATAAATTTTAGTATGGAGATAGATGGGACCTAGGAGAAAAATATAGGCTATTTTTTTGTCACGAAAATAAAAATTGAAAGGGATGAAAGGTTATTAGGTATTTTCGGGACGAAAATTTAATAATTTTTGTCTAATTATGGATTCTTATTTTTTTATGAATTATGAATTGAGGAGATGAGTGCAATAGTGGCTTATTCCATTAAATGGTTAATGTGAGTAATACAACTTTTTAATTTTTAATTTCTTTGAAAATGTTATCAAATATCAAATTGAATATTAATCAGTATTAAAAAAAAAATAAATATAACTCTTGTTTATTATTAAATATTTATACATTTAAGACTGATGTAATATTATTTTAATCTTATGATATGAATAGTTTGGTTTTACAAATAGATAGGTTATTTTTTATTTTCCATGTGGTTTTCATAATAATATTGGAAAAACGGGAAAATTTACTAAAATAATGCTTTTATTGTTTTAAATTTTGTTTTTTTTTTATGTAGTTTAAAAATATTCGTGGAGATTTTAAATTTTTACAGAAAACTTATATTTGCTTTCGGCATTTAAACTTTCGGCAATGGTGTGAGGTTTTCCGACACGTGCAATATTATAACTCAATATAAATGAAGCCTCCGTGTTTTTCTCATTTTCGTCTTTTACATAGGTAGTAAAAGAAGTCGCACTTTCAATTGAAATGTCTTTCTTCATTCTAAAGAAATCCGGACTTATCCCTTTCAGATTTGGATGGTTAGATTCCAAATGTCGCTTTAGCTTCGCAGGAGCCAAAGAACTGTTACTGAGAACTTTCTCACAAACTACGCACCTCACATCAGGAAACGTGTCAATTCCAATGGGAATAAATCCAAAATATAAATATTCTTCATCATATCGTTTTTTTTTAAACTTTTGAACAATTGATTTGAGTGTATTCCTTAGTTAGAGATACTTCATTTTCGATAGTAGCTTTTTGGAGAGGAGCAGCTTCACAGTGAGAAGTCGAGTTTTCCAATGGAACAGACGAAGTGTGACTTTTACATGTGGATGTTAAACCGGCCTTCTCTACTGATAATAATCGCCCCGTTTAGAGCCATGTGTCCATTTCAGTAAAAATTATGAAGGGACCGGTACCAAAACTGCACCGACAAGNCAACTGCTCGCTAATGACTACAGAGAAGATAAACGAATACCTAGTATCAAATATAATTATATGTATGGATCGACGACCAACAATATTATTATGGCATTATTAACGTGACGAGACCCATCGGCCGACTGCTCGCTTATGACTGCAGATAAGATAAATTAATACCTGGTAATATAAGCTATAAATATATATGGATCGACAACTTTCAATATTGTTATGGAATTATTAACGTTATAACGAATATTTTATCATAAGATAAGGAAACGTCCTAACGAGAAGAGGAGCTATTTGCCTATTATGTTCGAATCATAATTCAAATTAAAAATATTTTTAAATAATTTATATTTTCCAAATTTTTTACGGAACCCTTGGCGCCGGCTCACGGAACCCTTAGGTCCCGCGGAACACCAGTTGGGAAGCACTGTATTATATTATACCTTTTATATTATACCTATTATACCTACCCAATTTCTTACCTTCAACAGGTGGCCCACCTATCGTGAAAACTATGTCCGTTTTATTTTTAGATAAAATTATTATTAATTCTATGATTTAATGCGTTTTTTAAATCAATATAAAAAGAAAATTGAGTCGTTTTGGAAAAAAATTTGAATGTTTTTCACGAATTATGTTTTCCATAAGGGACCACGAGGTTAATGAATAATGAATAATGAATAAAACCAAGAGATATTTTATTACTAGATGGCGTAAGTATATATTGTTATTATTGTCATTTCTAATTTTTTGTGGTTTTTGTGCTTTTAGAAAATTATATCTGAAACGGCGATATTGCCTAGTCCGCATTATCATCATAATAATACGAATATCACGTTATCATTTAAACTGTATTTATTAAAAAAAAAAAAAAAAAAAATTAATGTAAAATTTAGTAATAAATACCTAATAGGCTAAAAATGAATGTTATAAAATATTGATATTTTTAAAGGAAAAATAAATAATCCTACAATTGCGAGTGTGTAAACTTCTTTGTTATAAGAGTACGGACGTGTACAACCTCAACCCTCCCACCCCTCGAAATTTTTTTTTTTGTCAACGCACCTGTTGGAGGCACGGTAAAATTCACATTTACCGGGCTGCATTCATCAGGCAGCCCGACTCGGTACGTACACACGTATACATTAATTCGTTGCGTTTTTCAGGTCCGTGGAGCGACAGTCACGGCAGACGGCGCAGACCGTTGATTTTCCTGCCGATCATCGGTCAAATTATAACGGACAGTCTGTGCTTATTGAACGTTTATTTTTGGACATGGCCGCCAGAAATGGCCGCAATTTTCGAAGCCATAACGCCCGGATTGTTTGGCGCTCGGAACATGTTCTGGGTGGGCGTGATATCGCACATATCGGACAATTGTCCAAACGAAATGCGGACGTTGAAGTATGGCGTCATAAACGCGGTCTACACCATCAGCTCCCTGATCGGAACGGGATCGGCTGGGTTTGTAAACGTCCGTCTGGGATTTTACGGTGCGTTTATCATACCGGCTTTGCTCAACGTAGCGGCCCTCGCTATCGGTTTCTTCTTCATCACCGACAGTTCGCAGCCATATGATAAAAACATCGTGTGGCTCAAGCCCAAACGTTTCTTCAAAAATTACATGAGTGTCTTCAAAAGAGATTCGAAATACTATGCCGTCACGTTGGTGACGTTGCTGTTGTGCCAGTCCGTATTGGTGGGTAGAATCGCAGGTTAGTTTATCTCATCATAACAATACGAATGATCTATAAGTGGTTACCGGCAGGTTTTTTTTTTTTTTTTAAGAAAAATATTTAATTTTGTTTTATTCGATTTTGATTTATTGAAGTTTCAACTTACACTACTAAACGTTTTAATACATCTACAAAACGAAAAAAAAAAAAAAAAATAATAATAAATGTCAGTAGGGATAGTATAGCTATCTATTATTATTATAATCTCTTCTCATTTTTATTGAAAAATAATATAAACTTTTAATTTCAAAACTGTAATCCTCTCTTTTATTTTAGTATAAAAGTTTTTCTAAATAAATATTGTTTTTTTTTTTTTTATCAAAATATCGAATATGAAAAGTTGGTTTAAAGTTTTCAAAAGAACTGATTGATTTGAGAGGGAGAAATATGATCGCCCTCCGCGAAAATATAGATAGAAATATTTTTGTTTATACAACTTCAATTAATATTATTGCTATACTAATAGATATTAATAAACTATATGTTCAATATATATACATATATTATATAATTTATTACCTATTTATAACGTTCAATCGTATACACGTTGTTTTTCGGGAAAAAAAAAATAAATATTGCACAAAATATAAGGTTAAGCGAATTTAAAATTTAAAATCATTGTCGTCGTTCAAAAGGGTTTTATTTTTTTCTGAATAAACGAGAAAAAGAGATATCATCACGTAATATTTTAGATCAAAACATTTTGTAAATTACGATGGAACGCCGTCATTAAAAGCTTTGTAAAATACAATTATTAATAATTATCGAATAACGGACGTTTTGTGTTAAAAAAAAAAAAACTACCTAGTGCAATATTTCATCACGATAAAATATTAGTTTTACCTTTCTTGTAATTTAATTTTCACTCATCACTGAAAACGTGTATAATTTGTAATCTTTGTGTAGCTTTCATCTTTGTTTTTTATGTATATTTTATAGTACATTATATTTAAGTTGGTCGTTTTATACTTGTACACTCGGTCGGCATTTAAATGTCTTTATTTTTCAGGCGAGTATGGCGTTACGTATCTGTTTATGAGGTACAAATTCAAATGGTACGAAGTGAAATACAGTTATTTCGCCGCTTTCAAATTGGTGATGATATTTTTTGGTAATTTTTTTTCTTATAAATAATTAGTTGTCTAATGCAAGTGGTAGGAAGCCACTTTTCCCACTATGTTTTTCCCAAATTTTCCATTGCCAACGCCTGTTTTTTCAAACGTTCTTCGGCTCAATAACTTTATTTCCAAGAGTTTTTTTTCTTGGAAAAATTCCTTTTTCCCAATACTTATCTTCACAAAAGCTCTTTTCCCCAATGACATTTTTTCCAAGTGGAAAGAGCTCCATAAGTTCCGACACTCAAAAAATATTTCATAAATAAATGCAAATCGTTCTCGATTAAACCAGAAAATATTATTGTATCAATAAACTGTGTACAATTTTGTAATTCTGTGGTTTTTAAGTGCAGTAGGTCTCGAACCTTAATTAAAATAGTCATATGTATATAATATTTATGTCTTAAATTTCGGTAGTTAAGCAATCGACTAAATTGTAAAATTACAAAATTCACTACAGAAATACATTGTACGCGTTGTATTTTAATTATTTTTAATATATGCATTTTTAACAATCTGATTTTAGGTACACTGTTTTCGGTCACCGTGTTGAGTTATCATTTGAAAATTAACGATGCGGCGATAGGTTTTATCGCTTGCATGTTTGACATTTTTGCCGCGATTTGTTACGTTTTCGTCTCCGAGTCTTGGCAACTGTACATCAGTAAATATAAAATATATTATAATATAGTCCGATTGTTATCTACGCATTTTAAGATTTTTTTATATTAAAATATTCTAAAATATTTGAATATTATTGAATTTTAGTTCCATTGGTCGACTTTTTCCACGGAACTGCTCTAGCGATTTCCTCTTCGTTAACATCTAAAATCGTCAAAGTCGACGAACTTGGTATGAATTTAAATGTTTACCTTTTCTTTTTATATTAGGCGTTTTGTATATATTTTCATGTTGTGCTATATTATTTTCCCATTAGGTCGACTCAATTCCGTCCAAGGAGTATTCACCACGTTACTTTCGATTATTATTGTTTCGTTGTATAACGCAACATATCATTTTACCTTTGAACACATAGCTGGCGCTGTGTTTTTGTTAAATATCGTTTTGACATTGCCCGTGTTAATAGTATTTGTGTGAGTAACATGTTTGAACTCTAATTCAAATTTTAATAAATATAATACAAATATGATAATTAAAATGTGTTTAAATATTATTATTTTTTTTTTTAGGATTATTTATTATAAATGTACACACCTGTGGACAAAAGAAAACGCAGTATAATTTTAAGGACTTTACTTACTTACATTATAATATAAAACAATGGTGAATTAATACCGACTTAACAATTTACGCAGATTTTACAGGTATAATACTTTTTAAACTACTTTGCACTTGGTTAAATATTAAATTATTTTACACGATGCCATTGTACTGTTTTTCGCCCGCAGTTTGCATCCATTGTATCAATCGACTTCAACGGGAATTAATTTTCAAAGGAGCCGACATCTTGTTTTTATCTTTTGATGAACCTTAATATTTATTTATTATGGTAGCTTTTGTACTTAAACCTATTGCTCATTGTATATTTACTTTAAGGTAGAGTGTTTTTATTGACCTTATATCGAGTTAAGTAACAACTATATGAAGAATCTTAAATGTCTGTAGGTATATGTCTAGAATATATTCAGTAGTATGAAAAATAATTTGTTGAATAATCCTTTTGAAATAATCGAAACTTAAATGGGTATTATTAATTATAACAACAACAATTATTTTAATAATGCACTGCTTAAGTACATGTTTTTATCTTGGGTATATAATATATTTGTCAATAAAAAAAAAAAAAAAACCAAAAAAAAAACCGTTACCATATTTTTAATTGTTCGATTGTATTGACACATTATTATAAATTATTATTATACTATAAATAATACAGATTAATGCGCGTATCTAACTCAATGATTTTATCGATTATAATAAGTATGAAACAGTTAGATGTAATGATAGTTTTATAATGAATATTTTTTTTTACTCGTAAAATTACTTTACAATTTAAATTTAATTTTAGAGTTATCATAAATATATTTTATACTATAGAAAACTATGGGTATTGCATTGTACACAAACATTTTTTATTTCTTTCTATGTATTATATTAAAAAACAGTTGGATTTATTACCTAATATTGTTTATTATTAAGAAATGTACATAAAAATATACCTATTAGTTAATGAATAGTTAAAAGTGATATTAGGAACTATATTTTATATTTTATTATAGCCACTATATATGTATATGTTACCTGTTTAAAATTGTATGTTATTAGTATTGTTGAATTAAAAATAAAATAAAATGTAAAATAAAAAAATAACATATTAGTCTTTAAAATATTATATCATTGCCCGTGTAATTTTTTTTCTCATACTTATCTAGAGATTTTAAATTCCGAACAGAGTAAAACTTTCTGATTTTAAATTCTTTATTGCGACCGGTTTTTTGAAAGCTATTAACTCATATTATTATACAATTATGAATATGTTAACATATTAATTATAAGTACTTACTTAACGTAATCATTTTTTTTGTATGTTAGATATGATTATATTTAGATGAAAAAAATCATAGTTATAAAAATTTGTATTGCAACAGTTTACGATATTCTTGATTCAACACGGTTGGATACATATAAAGTAGGTATATATTATACTTTTTTGGCTGTACGAGTATCTAAAAGTATATGTGGTGTTTGCATTTAATGTAAATTAAAACATAAAATAAAAAAAAAAAAAAACCGATCCTTCAAAAAATTAATTATCTATTTGCATAATATTGTATACGGTTTAATTACCACTGTATAATTTCGCGTCAATTGCACTGCCTGGTTTTTATGAGTATATAGATAATAACAATATTAAGCGTACAAGAGATTTTACTTAAGTGCATTGTGGTATTAATATTGTTATATTGGTGTCTATAGTGCTTGGTATCATATAAAATACAATGTCAATGTCTCAATAATCGTAGATAAAAAACATAACTGCTCGCGATTCAATTAAATTTAATAATAAAAACGTCATACTTATTATATTTACTGCTAATATACCATTCGATAAAATAATATTAACAGGTAGGTACAATACTTAATAATAATAACCAGTGCAAACGTATTGCGTCCCAAGATCCTTTTTTCATACGACTCGCGTCTCGATAATATTTGTAAACTACACATATAATAATTGTCTATTATTATTTTGTGCAATCATATTATGTTTTCCGTATATGAATGTTATAAAAAATAAACTTTTAATAACCTGTATAATATAAACTGCAGTGGCGTGACGAACACAATTAACTAATGAGCACACTGATTTATACTAACCGCACACAATCCAACTCTACATGAAAAAAATAATGATGACTTTTTTTTTATCATCCTTGTACATGGACTAACATACCTGGATCCATCATAGGTAAACCAATAGTTCGATAGTTTCCATTCAGTCGTGTCCTTCTCGACCATATTCGCGTGTTAGTTTTTTTTTCATACTTTCGTTTTTTATTTATAATAATTTATCATCCCATTTCGTAAATTTGTTTGTGCTTCACAGTGGCAGCGTGGTAGGGTATTTCATGAGGCGATGGCCTCATGGCCAATTGGGAGATGGTACCCCCAGGCCAAAAAAAATAATTATTGCTAAATTATACTCGATACTTAATACTTTATTGTTTAAGTAAAGGTTTATTGTTATTAATATAAAGTACTAGCTGTTCCATCCACCGTTGCTCGTGTTAATCTTTTATTATTTGTTTTACCCATATTATTTTTATTACACCGAATTTTGGGGAGGAGGAGATTTCAAAGGAAACGAAAATTAACCTAACGGGAAGTAGGGACGCTCGGCAGTGAGAGAGCGCGTGTACTGTATTATAGTCGTCACTTGCAGATGGCACGGCGTTCCTTTTATACCTTTATGTACGTATTTTCCGAGAATTTATATTAATACAAAATTAATAACTCGATTGTCATTATTAGAGATCGGATTTACATGTTCTTAAAATCCATAAAAAAGTACTTGAAAACGTCAAAAAACTTTGAAAAAAAAATCACTTATAAAATGTACAAAAATGCAAAAATAATAAATCGGGTTTAATAGTCCCCCCCTCTAACGGATTTAATTTAAAAATACAATTTTCTAACACCACAAAAATGATTAATAATAAGTAATTTTTTTTTTATAGTACGTACACTTTTATTTAAAAGAAATTATTTTGTATGAATCAATTTTGTAGTGTTAGGAAATTAAATTTAATAAGTTAGAGCCATTAGTGGGGGGACTTTTAAACTCTTCCATAATTTTTACCGAAAATCGATACCAAATTAAACTTTTAATATAAGGCTATAAATATATATTTAATATAACGTTTAAATCGAATAGACTGTGTATTAAAAAACGAAATTAACTTTTTCGATAAATGCCGACCGATGCAGCTGCCCATAAAGTATATAAAATACTACGTCTGTCATTGAGTATACAAAGACTACGTCTACTATAAATGAAGATAACTGAGAAAAAACGTTTATAATGTTAGTACAACGGTATCGAGTTCAAATCCCAGATATCATTAATGTTTTTGTAATTTTTCTACTTCTCCTGTTAACTTTTTAGACATTTTATTTCATAAAAACATTGTCTGGACAATTATGAATTCCGAAAAAAAAAAAAACCGGCTAAATCGGTCAAGCCCTTCTCACGTTATGCGATTACTAAGAGAAATAGTGATTCAATTTTATATAATTTATAGATATATAAATATTTATATTAAATTAATTATATTTCACTAATTCATTTTAACTTTTACATAAAAAATATTTAATATTAATGGTAACCAGAAAATATTTCAATAAAACATAATTTTTTCGAAGAAGATAAAATATAATAAATTATTATTTTTTTCAATAAATTAGTTTAAAAAAAAAAAATTCCACAGTGTTCTAAACTCTGTCGATTAAATGGTGCATGTTTTACATAGCTCGGTATTTTTGTCATTATAGTCCAGTGTTCTCTTGTAATAACGGATAGCGAAATACAAAAAGGTATAATGTATTATTAAAATACACGTATACAGTGTCAAATTTTATTAATTTTTAATGCTCATAAAATATAAAATTACCATGACATCAAGTATATAGTTGTAGAATGGTAAATTGGTGTAAAATGGGTGATGTGTGGGGGCTTTGTCCCCACGACTCTGTCTAATAAAACTTTGGTGTTGGTAGTAAAACTCTCACATCTATGTTTGCCTCACGAAATACAAATGTTCACACTGCCACTGGTGCTTCATACTTTTGGATTGTTTTTTTTCATTTACGTTCAGACATAGCTGTTGAATAAGGAATATGCATTATTCATTAACAAATTCAATACAAATAACATATAATTATTATTTTTGGACTGAAAATGAGGATTTAAATTCATATTTCGAATTAACTAGTTATCCACCATCAACGCGATAATTTGTTTTTTTTTTTTTTCAAAGGTCCACTTTGGTTAGGTAATCACATATTGTGGTAACTCTGTTAGATATTACATGGTCCAATCGGTCTACATGGCACACGGTATCAATGGAATACCACCTTAAGTGTATTAACAGGTAGGTACTATAACAGTCTACAACTGGAACTGGTACTGTCCATATCATGATATTAGTATAATTACGTTTTTACATCTGGTAACTTAGAAAGATTCACTTTATATGCATCTACTTGAATTATATGTGTAAGGACCCTATTACTTCGGGACAGCAACCATCTTTTAAATTGAGAAACGTGCCTCAAATAAAGTTTTTTCCACGCCACTGATAGGCTGTACGATAAATTAGCTATATTTTTAATGTAATAAGTAGAGGCACAAATTTGGGGTGTATCTATGCATATAATAGAATCTATAGATAACCGTGGTGTAATTACATAGGTACCTATTGAGTAATTGACTTTAATGCTATTTCGGGAGTTATACCAAGTACTAATTATATTATATTAGGCAGCTGTATATGACGAAAAGTTTATTTAATCATTCTATTCGAGTATAAACATTTATTGTACAGCGGTGGCCAAAAGTCGTGCAAAAAAATTGCAACACAGTTTTTATAAAACTGTTGTGTTTTATGTTAAATATATTGTTTTTTTATAAACCTTGCTGTTGTTGTACGTAAACAAGATAACGAAACCAAATATGACGTAACGGAAACGACGTGGAGGGAGAAACTGCGCCGTAACACGCGTTCCATACAAGACGGTAGCCGTTGCGCGACTTTTGGCCACCTCTGTATAATCAATAGTAGAATGTAACATTACAAAAAGTATTGTTATTTCACCAAAAACATAAATGTGGAAAAGGTGCCAAGATCGACAAGCAGAAGATATTTGCCAGCTTCAACGAAAATTAAATGAAATCTAAGCGGTTGCCAAGTTTACATTCTTAAAAAAATTGCTTGCTTTGGTACTACAAGTATTTCATTTTTGACCTGGCAAGTTTTATTTAGGTATAATAAATGAGTGCAAACACAATTCAATTTAAAACATAACATTAGAAATAAAACTTGCCAAGTCAAACATGATAGTATATTATATTTTACAGGGTGTTCTATAAAGATATATCCGTTGCAATATCTCCTGAGATAATAAAGATAGTCAAATTCTATTTTATTTTTAAATATTTTTTTTTATTACTCACAAGAATATGGACTAAAACTATTTACATTTAAATTAATTTTGCATGTTTTGGTAAACAAATTTAGAAAAGTAATTTGTATCTTATTATTTTTGAAAAATTTGGAAGTAACCATTTTATAGAGTTTATGTTCTCCTGAAAATCTTGAAATTTCAACTTTTTATTTTTATTAAATTCGTGGTTTTTAATATTTTATTAAAATTCATAGAAAAAAAAACGATATAGTAAATTACCTATATTAATAACAGTTAATTAGCAAATTCGATTATAGCCTGCTACATAATTATAGGTAATCGGAATAATAATTAATATAACATAGTTATTATTATTATGGGTAGTTGACAGTACACTTTTTTTTTCTCTGAACTTTAAAAAATTATTACAAACCGCGAATTTAATGAAAATAAAAAAAAGTGAAACATCAAAATGTTCAGAAGAATAAATTAAAATAATGACTGTCTTAAAATTTGTCGAAAAAAATGAAATAAAAAGTTATTTGTTTAATTTTATTTTTTTCGATTTGGGTAATATAAAAAGAGAATTTGATTATATTTTTTATCTCAGGAGATATTACAATGGATATACATTCATGAGACACC